CCAGGATCACGTTGAGCTGGCCCACGGCCTGGGAGTCCCAGAGGCCTGCGGTCTATGCCGAGTAGACCAACCTCTTAAAGCAGCAGAGTGGACAGACAGAAAGGGACGACTTTACTCCTTCCGTCATCTGTCCCTTCATACATGACTCCGCAGCCATAGCCCCTGCGCAGGGATGGGTACGGCCCACTGAGCTGGTGGAGGGTGTTTGGGCCAGCAGGTTGGGGGCAGGGCAGGGAGGCCACAGGTAGGCAGGGCCAGAAAAGCAGTGGGGCCAGCCAGAGGCAAAGCGGGAAGAGGGGGGGGGCACCCAGAACCCACTCAAGGCCTGGCCCACTCCCTCCTATCCTGTCCAGCCCATTGCTACTCGGATCTGCGGAGGAGCCTGGCCCAGAGAGAGGCCTGCATCAACATGTGCAAGCAGTCCTGCAAGTGAGTGGCGGGCGAGGTGTGGGCAGGCGGGGCCTGGGCAGGCGGGGCCTGGCCGGGCGGGGCTGGCAGGTCAGCAGCAGGGCTGGCAGGTCAGCAGCAGGGCTGGATTTTCTCTTCCAGTGACACCCAGTACAAGATGACCATCTCCATGGCCGACTGGCCTTCCGAGGCCTCCGAGGTGAGATAGAGCAGCTGAGTTCCCGCTCGTGCTTCCCTGGGCTGGGGACAGGTCTGGGCAGAGGACCGCAGGCTGTTAGGAACTGTAGAAGGGGACCTCCCCCACTTTGTCCATCCAGCCTTCCTTCTTCCCAGTATTCCCCCAGACTCTGTGCTGGGGACACAGCAGTGAGCGGGACCGTCCTGGCCCTGAGGGAGCTTACATTCTAGTTAGACAAAAATAACAGACACAAACACAACCAAGATGGCTTCGAAGTGCGAAGGTGCCTGTGAAGGAAACGTGGAGAGAGTAACTGGGGGAACTGGTTTAGGTAAGGGGAAGGGCCTCTTACAAAGATGGCAGTTGAGCTGAAAGCTGGAGGCTGAGCCAGCTGGGGCTGCGCTAGCCATGGGCAGAGCCAGGGAGGACCCTGGGCAGAAGGAACAGGCACGTGCAAGGGGCAGAGTGGGAGAGATCTGGGGACAGGATGGCTGGGTCTCTGGGGAAGGGTCCATGGAAACAGCAGCCACAGCTTCCACTACCACCCTCCTCTGGCTCTTGTCCCAACCCACGGCCCCGGGAGCTCCAGGAAGCACAGGGCTGCAGCCCCCAGGGGTAGTAGGGCCGTGCTCGGCTTGGGAGGAACGCTGCAGGCACCATTTTTTAACGGCATTCTTTGTTTCCAGGACTGGATTTTCCACGTCTTGTCTCAGGAGCGAGACCAAAGCACCAATATCACCTTGAGCCGGTGAGCCTAGAGCGGGGACAGGGCTGGGGAGAACAGCAAACGGAGGAGCCTGAGCCTTGGGCAGATAGACAGATACCGTCTCACCCTGGTCAGACACAGGAACTGGCCCAGAGAAGAAAGCACTGGCAGAGAGAGAAAGAGCCAAGGGGACTCAGAGGCCACCCCAACCAAAAGGAGGAGCCTGCCCTACCATCTGTCACCCACCCAACCATCCCTTCATCCCCCCACTGTCCGTCCACCCGCCCATCCCCAACCGCTCATCCATTGCGTCCATTCAGTACACACACGCACCGCACACGAGGAAGACACACGGCCATACTCTCAGGAGGCTCCAGTCCAGAGAACAGACACGTGCACAAAGTCATATCGTGATGAGTTTACAAGCCCCCCCTGACACGTGCGCACATGCACACACACACACACACACACACACACACACACTTTATGAGCACGGCAGGGAAGGAGCCCCAGTTGGCCTGAACGATAAGGGAGGTGGCCATTGAGTTAACTCTCTCAGGAAGCATAGGACCCATCAGATAGGTAAGAGCAAAGGTGCCCATGAGGAAGACAAGGCTTGGGCAGAGGCCTGCAGCCTGACAGCACAGCCTTTCTGAGGCCCAGCAGGCGGAGAGGGGAAGCCCACCTGGTCACCTCCTCTGCCCCAGGTAGCCTGAGAGCAGAGCAAGGAGTAGCAGCTCTCCGCAGCCCTACGAGTGGGAAAGGGGAGCTCAGAGCTGATCTCTGGGGCTGTCTCAGCCCAGGGCATCCTCGGGACACTGGCAGGCTGGGGTTCAGAAGGGCGTCTGCAGCATGAGTGCTGAGCAGAGATGCCCTTTGTGGGCGTCAGGCCCATAGGGCTGGCAAAGCTGGCACTTTGGGATCTTGCTTGGCCTTTACCACTATGCAGTGGACGCGTGAGCAGCTCAGGCCAGAGGAGGACAAAGGCAGTCCTCGGCCTCCTTCTGCGTATGCGTGGGTGGTATGTTCACGTGTGTGCGTGTCTTGGGGAGCGGGGATATATGGTTCCGGCCCTTCTTGCTGCCTCCTGCAGGAAAGGAGTTGTCAAGCTCAACATCTACTTCCAAGAATTCAACTACCGCACCATTGAGGAGTCTGCGGCCAATAACGTGAGTCTGGGAGGCCCCTGACTCGCTGTCCTGCACGGATCCCCTGCACCCTGAGTGTGCGCAGGATCTTCCGCCCAACACGGGGATGAGGAGGGTCCCTCAGGCAGTTCCAAATGATATCCCTGGGCCAAGGCGCCACCCTCTGCTCCTTCTCACCACCACCCCACCTCAGAGGAGCCCCTGAGGCTGGGCTAGAGGCGAGAGTGTGTGGGCCACCCCTCACCCCAGGCCAGACCCTCAGCTCCCCATTCTCCACAGATCGTCTGGCTGCTCTCAAACCTGGGAGGCCAGTTCGGCTTCTGGATGGGGGGCTCAGTGCTGTGCCTCATCGAATTCGCGGAGATCATCATCGATTTCGTGTGGATCACTATCATCAAGCTGGTGGCCTGTGCCAAGGGCCTGAGGCAGAAGCGAGTCCAGGCTGGCTACACGGGCCCGCCACCCACCGTGGCCGAGCTGGTGGAGGCCCACACCAACTTTGGCTTCCAGCCTGACACAGCTGACCATACCCCCGACCCTGAGGCCTATCCGGACGAGCAGAGCCTGCCCATCCCGGGCACCCCGCCCCCCAACTATGACTCCCTGCGCCTGCAGCCACTGGACGTCATTGAGTCCGACAGTGAGGGTGACGTCATCTAGACCTGCTGCTGTGCACACCGCAGTCCTGGGACTCGAAGCTGAGAACCCAAGATCTTTGTCCAAGGCGTCCCTTTATGGTGGCCTCTCCTAAGGATCCAGAGCCCAGTGCCCGTGTCCCACCAGAGACACCCGCAGCAACCGGCTGGTCCCAGGCTGAGGGCTCCTCCGTAGGGTCACGGGGCTGGAACGAGATGCAGGAACAGTGTTCTCATCTGGTTCCCGCCCACGGCCACCTGTCCTGACCCTCGGTCTGGGATATCCCCAGTGAGGACTCAGAGACCTCCACCCTCTCCAGATGGCGGGCCCCCTTCTCGACCAGTGCCAGTCACCATCGGCCCAGAGATGAACAGGGGGGCATGCCATGCTGTCTGTGCCCTCAGGCTCACAGCCTTTCACCCTCCCTCGGCTGACAGGCCTGGGAACGGGCCTTGTTCGGGCAGCAGTGGTGAGGGCCTGCCAGGTGGCACAGGCTTTGTTCTGGAAAATAAACGTAGAAAACGCCGAGCGGAGCTCTGTCCTTTCTCATCTGGGCAGCTGGAGGGTCCTGATGCATCTCCCAGCTCTGGCCCAGCTAGTCTGCCGGCTGGTGGGAGGGCGACGGCACTGCGAGGTTGAGGGGCAGTTCTCTCTTGTGAATCTTTCAAGTTGTCCCTGAAGCAGCGACCTAGTGACGTTTCCAATGTCACCCAACCCACTCTTTTGGGTTGCAAGAGGGGGCAAGATAGAGAAATTCCAATTGGCCAGAGCAAAAGGGTCTCAGACAGCTCAAGAGGTGCTCCCCAGGGGCTCTCCCAGCAGCCTCGTCTACACTGCCAGCTCCCCAGCTGACACTTACTGCTTTGACTGGTCACATGCTTGTCTTTGAGCCAATCAGTATGGCTAATTGGATAGGCCTGCCAGATTGGTCAGGCCTGAATTCACCTGTCCAGACCTGAAGCTAGTTGGCCCCAGCAGAACTGCATGACGCCTAGGGTTGTGAGATGAAATCCAGTTAAATTTTAATTTCAGGTAGATAATGAATTAATTTTTTTTAAATAGAGATTTTTGGTATAAGGTACGTGTGCTCGCTAGAGAGACAGAGAGACAGGAAGCGAGAAATCGCCCCCAGGGGGATGGCCACTCCACAACCCCTTCTCCTCCATTCTCTTCTCAGATTTTGGGCACACACGCACATGTGCCCAGCCTGAGTTTCAAGCCACCAGGTCCAGAACTAAAACTGTGGCCAACTACGTGGGAGTCCAGTGACATAACCATTATGCCACCTGCTGGTCCCTAATTAGTTTTTTAATATAAGCATATCCATGTAGTATTTGGGACACATACTAATAAATCATTCGTTGTTTTCTGAAATCCAGATTTCAATGACTTCTTGTATTTTTATTTCCTCCAACCCCTGACGGTCTTACTGCTGTGATCCACTCCCAGCTCCAGCCAGCCCCTGATCATGGGTGCAGGTGCCTGGCATACTCAGGGACGTCTCTGAACACAAATCTGGAAACTTTTCATGGACCGGCCTTGCGGGGTGGGGGTGGTGGTGTTTACCACTGCACCTGTGCGTCGCCCCCTATACTTCTAATTGCTAATACAGCAACTTTATAAGAGCTCCCCCAAGAGAGATCGGGGCGCTGTCACCAAAGGTGCATGAGGTCTGGCAGCTGCAGACGCTGACACCACAGCACCTCGCAGTCTCCTGCCTGCAGTCACCTTGCCCCAGTGATGGAGGCTGGCTGTAGAGCCTGAGCCTCCAAGGGCCCAGCTCTGCTGATCTGGGTCCCCTGGCTTCTGTGGTCTGGAAGATAAACCAGCCAGGCTCCCATCCAGTGCCCATGGTGGCACCTGTGGAGGAATGAGGTGCCACCAAGTTGGGGCCACTCCAGCTGAAGGCAAGCCCTGCTAGGGGCAGAGTAGAGAGGGCCTGGATGACACCAGGGCTCCTGGCTCAGGGCCCAGCTAGTCTGCAGGCTGGAGTCGCTGTTCTTGGTCGCTGTCACCCTACTACTGTGGCTGCAGCTTTTATTAGCAGGGCAGTTCATAGTTCGGAGTTGGTTCACCTGCGTTATTAAACAATAGCTACATTGTATTGGATGCTCACAGACGCCAGGCACCGTGCCAAATACTTAGTCTTACTTTGTTTCATTCTCATAACCTCTGAGAAATAGTATCATTCCATTTTACAGGTAAGTTATTTGAGGCTTAGAGAGGCAAAGAAAGGTACTCAGGTCACTGTTTTAGTAAAGTGACAAAGCTGAGACCCCCCCAGCCCCTCCCTCTTGGTGTCCATGGTCATAACAACAGCCCCTTCCAGGAGCCCGGAGCTTTCTGGAGCTTCCTGGA